TGCTGAAGTCTTCAATTTACCCAAGTCTTCAATTCAATTTTTGTTGAATGAATATATGAGCTGTGAATAAATACTCAAAAAAAAAAATGGTAAAGGTGCTCATATACCCAAAGTCAGGAAATCCTGCTCTTCTTCCCTATCTCTGGTCTTTTGCTTCTGGAAGGGGGGCCCCCTAAGACTGGACATCAGCATCACCTGGGAACTTGTTAGACAGGCCAACTCTTCAGCCCCAACCCAGACCTCCTAAACCTGCAGGAGTTTCTATTCCCTCCAGAGAAGGATGCCAGTGGGGAAGCGTTGGAGTCCTTCTGGAGGGCAGAGGCTCTTTAAGGTCTTCCTTATAAAGTGCCATCTCAACTGTATTCCTATATTAGCACACATGAGCCCAGAAAAGATCTCACCAGCAAGTCTTATGTGAGACAGAGGCCACAGGTCCACTTAGATGTCACTTTATTTTTCCCACACATAGGCAGAGCTAGTTATTTATTTCCACTTCCTGGTACTGGCTCCCAATTTGCGCTCCATCCTGCCGCCTTCAGAGAAAGTGGGGTGTCAGTGAGATCTCATAAATAACTGCCAAGGGGCCAACACCAAGGGCTTCTTGGACCTAGAAGGTGCTCGTGTTGATCAGTCCCATCCACCTCGTGTTCTAGGACCCGAGCATTTTTCAGGGCTCTAAAATGTTGGTTTTCACCATGACATTTACAGGGCAGCTGAGCCTGCCCCGTTAAAAAGCATCCAGGGCTTAGCAGGCAGTAAGGAGCCTGGGCTATTCTCCAGCAGTTGGCAAATGCCATGACACATGAAATGTCACTGCAGGCTTTGTTTAGTTTGAAATTGAAAAATTTCAAGAATTATGAAAGCTGACATACCTTGCTTAGAGAGGAAAAAAAATCCCCCCTTTTCTTTTTCTCTGCTTCTCCTCTACAGACTACTTTTCTAGGGCATGGCCAGTCTCCCCTGAACTTCCACTTCAATTCAAAACCCCCACTTCTCCCCAGCTTACAGACTAATGAGCACCAGACAGCCACAGAGCTCACAACCAAGAGCTCGTTTCCAAAACTCCTCTTGCTAGTGAGAAAGAATGTGGCACTATTACTAATTCAGAGCAGATCTGACCCAGCTACAGACATCCATGCCCCATTTTCCCAGGATCCTCTACCTTTCGTTTTTCTTTTCCTCTCAGAAGGAATGTTCACAGTTATTTGTATACAAACATTCACCACCACCAGAATCCTTCCCTAGGTCTTAAAACTAGATGGGTACTCAGAGGCATTGGACCTGGCCTCTTGTTTTCCAACTGCTAAGTTACTGTTCCCATTGCACATGTGATGTGATATAGTGAACAATTTGCCAGTGTCCTATAGACAGTAAGTGCAGAGCTCAGAACAAGGGGTCCTGTCTCTTGGGCTTTCTCTCCTTTGAACACATACCTCTCTTCATCTGGGATCAGAGCCCCAGAATGACAGAGGAGCTCTTCATTTGCTCCTTTCTTTCCAGCTCCAGTCCAGGATAAAGTTTTCTCTTGCATGATTTCATCAATATAGCTAATCCAAAAGTATCATCATTTAAAAAAATTTTTATTATTCAGCCAACTGCCTCCTGCTGACATGCTTCAGCCCTGGAGTTCGGATGGCCTGTCTTCCTGTGCAAGTGTGAGCATGTGCACACCTGCATGGGGTGATCCAGGAGGACCCAGCCCTCTTAATTCCATTTGCTAACATCTAGGTCAGCAGTAGGCAGGGTTTTGAATGGTTCACAAAGTGACTCTCACCCAACGGGCTTGAAAATAAATGACTGCCAAGAGGACCAGGGCCCACACTGGCAAGGGAGGGCTGGAGGACTTAAATTCTAAGACAGGTAGATACCTTGATTGTCCCCCCATCTGTCCTCATTTAGGATGTTTGTTTTGTTTTAATCTTGGGAGGGGAGAAAAAAAAACAAGTCAAACAAAAATCTCTGGTTAGTATTTAGAAACAGGGGTATCTTAGTCCATTTGTGCTGCTGTAACAAAATACCTGAGGCTGGTTAATTTGTAAAGAACAGAAATGTATTTCCTCGCAATTCTGGAGGTTGGGAAGTCCAAGATCAAGGTACTGGCTTCTGGGGAGGGCCTTCTTGCTAAATCATCACACATTGGAAGGCAGAAGGGCAAAGAGAGAGCAAGAAGGGGCCATTTTCACTCTTTCATAAGGACATCAATCCCACCCACCCAGGAGGGTAGAGCCCTCATGGCCTAATCACCTCTTAAAGGTTCCACCTATTACTATTGTTACAATGGTAATGAAATTTCCAACTGAGTTTCAGAGGGGTCAAACAGTCAAACCATAGCTCAGGGGTGACCCTAAGAAATCTGTCTTTCCCTATCTTTCTGACTCTGGACTTCTCTGCTTGGCCTCTCCACTGTTAAAAACTTCTTGGTACAAATTAGGAGGCCACATAGGGTGGGGTGAAGGGCCCTGAGCTGGCCACACAATCTCTGCCTCCTGTCAGTGGAGAGACTGGGCCGCTGTCATCACCAGTGTCCTCATCTATAACATACACTGACAGGCATGCTAAGGATTAAATGGACACCACTGTTAAGATGCTGCAGTGCCCACCAAATGTCCGCTCCTCTTCCTCATCCCTGATCATATTAGTGCATGTTTTCCCACTGAAAGACATTTGTTATAATGGAAGGCAGCCCCAGGAACAATACTTTTTATAAAGATGAATCTCTAAAGACGGTTTCAAGCCTCAGAAATAAGCACAGGAAGAGATGAGGTGATGTCACTGAGGCAGGCAGGGGGCCCTAATGACAGCTGGAGTTGAGGAGACTCAAGAGGCAAAGAGGTGGGGGTGGAGGAAGCAGGTAGCAGGTCCCAAGGGAGCAGGTGGGATTGGGACGGCTGCCTGCCTCTCTCCTCTTGTGCTTACAGGTCCTGATTATCAGCCAGCAACTCTGGTGAGCCCTGTCCTTAGATCACTGCCAACATCCTCATCTCTCCTTGGTGCCCCTCCCCATCCAGATCCTGTGACACACCTTTGTTGCTGTCATCCTGTCCTCTCCCAAACCTACTCACACCCAATTACCCAGTCTCAGCTGCCTTTTCTGAACAGATGTCATGGGAAAGGCTGCCCCTTGGGGCCAACATGGAGCATAGAGAAAACCAAGCTAGCGGGAAGGGCCCTACAACCTCACTCTCACCAGTGAGAGATTCTCAGGACAGATGTGAGGCTACTTCGTTCTCTTGTCTCCTTTCTATGAACAGTGTTTCTATTTTTCTGATGGTGACCCACAACCTTCCTTGCAGCCCCGCTGATCTGAACAGATCATGGTCAGTTCACGCTCAGGAAGCCAGGTCTTATCTCTAACCTAAGCCCCACTGGCGGCACCAATAGCAAGCCAGTCTTGGTGAACCAGGCTTCCTTTTAGCTCTCCCGGATGTCTTTCTTCCCTCAGCCACTCGCATTTTTCTCTCTTAAGAAGGGTGGACATAAGGAGGAAGAACAAATTAAAGTCCACAAAATGTGGCTTCTGGCTCTTAATATCTATGCCAATAAATGCCTGAAAAATGGCCACTGGCCTACATGTGAGGCAGCTTAAAAAGGATGTGTTGGCACTTTGACCTTGACTCTCCCTGCCGGCACTTTTCACTCTGATATTGATGCCCCTGGCCTCACCCAAGGCCCCATCATTTAACTCCAAGAGCAGACAGGAGGCACGGATGTTCACCTCATGGAACCTCAGAGCCCACAGGGGCCAGTAGAGAGCAGCCTTTCCCAGCTTCTTATTGGATTCCATGGGCTAAACTTGCCCCCTTTGTGGATAAGCATGAGTCTTTTACACAAAAATGTCCTTCCCTGGAAAAGTGAGCTGGGATATACACACACAGTGTCAAGTTCAGACCTCCATGCATGGCCTTCAAAAGGCCATCCACCTTGCCTCACACTTTGCCCCTCCCTGCCTCCAGCAATCTTAGACCACTCATAGGTCCCACCCTGTTTATAGCTCTTGTGCAGGCTGGCTGTGGCTGGAGTGGCCCATTTCCCTTTCCGCTAACATATGCCGGGGTCACTTCTATCAGTGGTGATTCAGCTCAATCACCCCACCTCTAAAAGCTTGAACAAGAACATGGTGGACTCCCCAAACCGGCAGATCTAGGGTAGAATCTCTGTTCATTCCCAAGTCACTTTACCTCTGGAAAGCTCAGTTTCCTCATCCATAAAGTGGGAGTAGTCACCCTAGACTTTGAGGATGGTTATAAGAGGAAGATGTAGAGTGCTCAGTGTAGGGGCTGGCACCTCATGACCTCATGAGTACTGGAACTCAGTAACCTCTCCATTGTTTCCTGATATTCTGCCCTCTGCCCTTCCACCCTGGCCTGGGTTGGAGGCCTCTTCCAATCACTGTGCTTTTATGTGTGTGCTTTTTTTTTTAATCTCCTTTAATGAAATATAATTTATATCCACAAAACTTACCCATTCTCAGTGCATGGTTTGATGAGCTTTGACAAAAATAGATGCTTTGCACACCTGTGCATACAAAGTACTTCTCTCACTCCTATAGCTTTCCTGTGTCCTTCCCCAGCCAGTCTTGACTCCTCCAACCCTGGCTCCAGACAATCACGGATCTTTTTCTACTGCCCTACATTCTTTCCCTAGAGCTTTTTGGAACCACACAATACCTATTCCTTTGTGTCTGCCCTTGTTCACTTACTGTTCAGTGATGTTTTGAGGTTCCTGGCATGGATGGACAGTTGGTTCCTTATTATTACACTTCTAACTTGGTATTATAGTCTGTCTGGTTCCTGTACTAGACTATAAGGCCCTCAAAGATTCCAGCTTCTTCCTCCTCCTTTTAAGGCACTCAGTAAATGTGAGAGGGAAAAAGGGAGAGAAGAAGCCTGGGGGTTGCCCTGGTGATTGGCTAAGATATTGGCTGCAACCTTGCTAGCCATCCACCTCTGGAGGGCAGTACTCCCAGTCCCCAACAGAACCCCCCATACATGGGCACTTACAGCAGCCAGTCCACAGCCACCAGCAGGCTGATGTCCTCCGTGGGCAGGCCCACGGCCGTGAGGATGAGGAGCATGGTCACTAGCCCAGCACTGGGGATGCTGGCTGCGCCGACACTCGCCAGGGTGGCCGTGAGGCTGTGGGAACAGAAAAGACCAGGTTATGGGAAGAGAAGTCTTGGCCAAACTATCACTGGGAATTTTAAACTCTAAGTACCAAGACCCAGGATCAAGGTCTGTTTGGTATCTGCTCATCTGTGATAGAAGCTTAAAACTTCATGAATTATAACCCTATTATCATCATGATACTTAATCTTAGACTAATGGGGCTCAAAGAAGGTAAGCAAGGCTTTAAAAACAGGCAGGAAAATATGAACAAGAGAAAAAACCATCACCCTTAATCCTCCCACGGGAACAAACCGCATTCATTTCTGCTTACGCCTTTACGTTTCTACAAGCACCTCCGACTTCTGGACTACGTGGCAGGGGTCTGGGAAGCCCATTGCCAATGTTAACACGAGAACTCAGAATTGAAAATATCCAGACCTGACTGAGTGGACATCAGGGGAACAAATCAACACACTCCAAATGACATTAAGCTTCAGACGCCTGGACATTTCACCAGGCGCTGGAAAAGACATTATTCAGAAAGAGAGTGCCAAGAAATGATAATGAAATAAAGACGGGCTTTCTTTCTGAAGCATCTCATCCGTTTCTTTCCAAGCAGTGCCAGGGGCACACCCAGTACTCTTCTCAAGTCTGTTTCTGGGAGATGATTAATCCAGGGTTCACGTGCTTATCTATGGTGGGGGGTGTCTCTGTGGTCCAACAAAAGGGCAGTGATGTTTTTCTCTTCTGGATGCCATTTCTACAAGCTCTCATGTCAAAATACAAGGATACTTTGAAAATATGGATTCCCACGTTGACTTTGTGGGTGCTGAGAAGAAAAGGGGGCTGTTTTCTTTGTGATAATAAAATCCTAGATTTTCTAGAGACTCAGGCTCCACGCTGAGAGACAGCCTCTCAAAGTGTTTTAACAGAATCCAGGCCATCGGCATATCCAAGCACATTTGGGGGAGGGAGGTGGATTCTTACCGTTGGAAGGGACCTGAATTTACCCACCCCCAAAGTCCGTGATTTGAGCTGCAGTTTCCATATTGCTGTCCATCCCAGCTTTAGGCCTGTCCTAACGAAGAGACACCTCCTTTGGGTATGACCTACAGATCCAGACTTTGCCGTCCCCCTGTCCCACCAAAGCAGAGCTGGTGTCAGGATTCGGAGGCTACTTATTAACTACATGACTACTGTCAACCTCGCCTCTTTGTGCTTTCATTTCCTCCTCCTCTGTGCAAAAGACATAAGGAAGGCTTCTCCCTCCTGGAGTGGTCAGAAGCTTCCAAAAGTAATAAAAAAGCACTTAAAGGAGTCCAGGCACATTAAAACCCCCAGGAAATGTGAATTCAGGTGGAAATCCGGGCAGGGCCAGGCTGCTTTGCAAGGAAAACTTCCCTAAAGCCCCAAGAGCTGGAAGGTGGGAATTCTCAGCCATTTGCCCAAGAAAAACAGAACACGAGGGAAGGGGAATTTCCCAAGTGCCACAGTCTTGGCCTTGTCTGTTTTATTTACAGTATCAGTAGCTTCTGTCATGAATCACTCCTCCATGCCCCCTGTGCTATAGCGACATTATCAGGTTATTTTTGGGTTATGCAAGACAAAATCTTATAAAGAAGATTCTTCCTAGAAGTTGGTCCCTCCGTGTTCCTCCACCCCAGTAGTGGCCTCAGCCTCCTCCCATAGGCAGTGTCTGTGGGAGTCCAAGCCCTGCAACAGCTCCATGGGCAGTGACCGCCCCTCTCTCCCCGCATCCTTTCTGGTTTGCCTGACCTTCCACACCTCTACTTCCTGGAGCTAGTGCAAGGTACCCCACAGAGACATAATATCAGAACAGAACTTCATGGATAACCTGCAAGGGACACATGTTATAATACCTGCTTGCCCCATGAGGAAACTATGGATTAGGGGGTGGAGTAACTTCAAGTCACACAGCTTGAACCTGGATGGTCTCCTGGGACTTAAACACCAGTCTGCTCATTCCAGCACCGTGCTAGCTCTCATTGCCCTCTCCCTCCCCACACTGAAAACTGTAAATTAACAAACATGCTGACAACCCCTCATCACTGTTCTCCTGCATGCAAGGAAAGGAGCGGATGAGGAATTTGCTTGGAAGCACAGCACAAAGCTGGACTTGGCTATTTTCCTCCCAATAAATTGCAGGACCCTTGGTGGGTCCTCCCAGACACAGCCCTGTGGTGTCTACAGTTAAGGAGGACTTGACTGAACTTGCCCAGGGGCCTGAGATTTAAACATAAATGGCCTTAGCCTTTGTCAAGTGAAAATATTCAGCAGTGTTATTTTTAAGGTAAAACAAGCCCTATATAGGTAAATTTATAGAATTTGAGCATGATCCAAATCACTCAGTCACTGGTCCATTCTGTCACGTCTAAGTCCCCCTCTAATGATGTACTTGGTGGGAGGCACAGCTGCTATCAAGGCCAAGAACTGAGGGACTGGAAGTCATATTGGCCTGACAAAGGGCTTCATGAAGAAACTCTTTCCATCTGTGAGTTTTAAAGCAAATAGGGTTGGCAGTCTCATGGAGTATCTATGAAACGTCATTAGAAGGCTTGATACTCCGACTTGAAGAATGTTTTCCATTGTCTGTCACGTCACAGAACTCACTGGGTCATTGACCGATTTTTCTTTAATCTTCCAGAAGTACTGTGCCTTTTTTTGGTGACAGTACTTTTGTTTAGTAATAGTGACAATACTAGTAGCTAATGTTTACTGACAGGGGACTGTGTACCCGACACAATGCTCCCCACCACTCCAGAATGGCTGATTATTGTCGCCCTTATACAGAAGAGGAAACTGAGGCTCCCTCTATAGTACAAACTTCATTGAGTGGTTCTGAGGATAACATTACATATATAAATTAATATATGCAACTCAACATTATAGTACAGTGGAGGCAGTATGTGTGATGGTTGAAGGCACAGACTTCAGAGTGACGTGGTCTGGGTTCAAATCCCATTTCTACTACTTAGAAACGGTGTGATGTCAGGCAAGTTACTTCACCTTACAATGCTTCATCTTCTCCATCTATAAAACACAGAAAACGAATACCTACTTTTTAGGGCTCTTTCTGGGATCACAAGCTAAAAGCCTTAATTAACATAAGCATGCATCAGCACTTGGAAACCTAAATTTTAGGTCTTCCTCTAGAGGCTGCAACGTGGCCCATTCTCTGAGCCTCGGGTTCCTCATCTCCAAGAATAGATGAGATAGTTTGCCAAGAGCTTCCCTAGCAAATTTTCTAAATAATGCATTCTAGCAGATTAAACAAAAGTGATCCTCATGTGATATTTTCACCTTCTGTGTGTTGATGTGTTAGACATGGAGAGTTTTTCTTTTATCTGCTTGCTGACTTAGTTGCTGGACTGAACTCAGATGCATATGGGATACTCATTAAATCTTTTGGAATGGTTATAAGAAGAAATCTGTGTTTCCACAAAAATGTCCCTGAGCTGGCTGAATACCTCAGAGCTAGGCAGATCAAACTCAGACTTCAAAGTGTCATTCCATGGTGATATTCACCCCTAGAACACATAGCAAACATGTCTAGTGGCAATCTCCAGCGCTATGACAGACATGAGGCAGTCCATCAGTTTAGACTTTTTAATAATCTGAGCATGTAGAGAAATCAGACCTGACTAGACCCTGCCTCTTAGGAGAAGTCTCCTAAAATGGCCCCATACCACTAAAGGCTTCCTAGAAAATGAACTATTGGATACCATGGGCCTACCAGACACCAGATTATTACAGGAATTTCTAACATAGAGGTTGACAATGTTGTCTGAGGTTTGAAGTGGGGAGAAAGGGCTAGTGCCTTAACCTGAATCCAAAGAACACTGCCTCTTCTAATGCCCAAGGAAACAGGTAAGTCAAACTACTATTCTGATATCTTCCTTTGAGTCACAGTCAAAAAGCAGAAATGACACATAGTTGAAAGAGGTTGGCTGTGGAACAGAGATTTGACTTGTGCCTCTGGTGCCCACAGCGATGAGACCTGAGTTTATCAGAAAATTTCTCTGGGCTTCACTTTCCTTAAAATGGGTATGATGACTCTCCCTTCTCTTCAGTCTTGTTGGGCATGTAAAGAGTTACCACCTTAGAGGAACCAAGAGAGCAGAGGCATTTACCATTACGGAGGCACAAAGCGTCCTTCAGTGTCTACCTGATTCATTTCTCAAAGTGACACACCTGTATCTTGGCTATTCCAGCAGGTAGAATTCTCTTTCTAAACAAGTACATTTGTTACACAGAACGTGACCCACTTACTCCCAGTATTTTCTAATCTCATAGTATCTGGAAGAGGAAAGAAAACTTAAAGAGTTCCAGGTTCACAAATGCAAATCTCCTAAAGGACCGAGCAGGGTGGCAGGTGCAACAGGCTAGGATAAATAAAAGGAAGCAGGGGAGAATGCGGTGAACTGGAGTGCCCCTGTCTTATAAGAAGATAAATTCTAATTTTTTGCAACCTATTATAAGCCAAACAAAGCAACACTCTGGGCTGGATTTAACCCATGAGCTACCAATTTACAGTTCCAAATTCTGAATACCGTCTTCATTTACAGGTGAGGAAATTGAGAATAGGAATCTGACATGAATAAGACCCGATGACTGGTTCTTTGTGGGTTTTTTATTTTTTAACATTAATTGAAGTCAGAAATTGGCATCTGGCTCAATTGAATATCCTGTGTGGAATGAGAATGATAATACTAAAATCATCACAAAGTGTTTAATTTCATGCTATAGGGTCAATACAACATTGACTGGTTTAAGACTGGTATTTTTTAGTGACTCTACTTAAAAACAATGAGCTGAGGAATTGACCTGACCAGTAGGTAAAAATTTTAAATTTGGGGAGAAGCAATATGTTTTTAGTGATCTCTTGGGGAAAGGTTCTTTCTGATTTTTTAAAAATGAGAAAGCTATATATATAGCTTTAGCAAAATAAAAATTAAGTGCTATTCATTTGTAATAAACTGTTATATAGGTCATATTGAGGAATCTCTTTCTTCCAGTATTTCTTCATTTCTGCCTAAAATATTGAGGGGAACATATTTTAATAAAAGAAATATTGAATCCAGGCTTGACCACTGCTGGCCCCAGAGACAGCCCCGCAAGCTCATTTATAGTGCCATGACCTTGGACAAACTACTGTGCCTCTTCCCACCTGAGTTTCCTCATTTATTAAATGGGCAGAGAAACAGCTGCCTTGCCTACATCCTAAGATTGCTAAAAGTCAAACAATATCCGATGTCCATAGTGAGTTGATATGTGCAAGACAAAGAGAAGGTATTAACACAAGTCTTCTTCTGACTGTGACCTTTTCCCTTTGATGGCTGACAGTAATCCTCTTCTCTTACTACCTTCATCATTCTTCCAGCAGGAGAACTGGAGTTTAGGTGGTCTCTGTCACATGGAGTTAACATGGAGGGGAAGTAGGGTAGAAGGTTGTTCCCATGCTTCCCCCCACACTCACTCACCTCACGGTCACAATCTGGCCTCCATCCAGGACAACGCCATTCATCTGGGCTATAAAGATGGCGGCCACTGCTTCATAGAGGGCTGTACCATCCATGTTAATGGTCGCTCCAACTGGGAGGACAAATCTGGTCACACGCTTATCGATCCCTAGATTTTCTTCCAGGCAACGGAAAGTGACAGGCAAAGTTCCAGCGCTAAGGGACACAGAAAAAGAGAGAGACAGGGTCATGTCCACTTTAGAGAAACAGGACAAAGAACAAACTGGAATGCCACTGCAAGGGTTGCCTTCCTTTGTTCCAGTAGAACAATGTGACCTGCATCTGGAGCCAAATTAAAAACTCGGGAGTTGGAGGCTCAAACTCAATCTTATTAACATGCGAATAGGCAGCAAAATAATTTTTTTGGTTCTGGTTTGTGAGAGCTTCCAGCAGCTCTTTCTCCTTTGGTTGGTCACTGTTTCTATCTTGGATTCCGTTTTGAAGTGCATCTGGTTGCCCACATAAATTGGGTTGCAAAACAACCAAACTGTGTCAGAAAAAAATCAGCTTGTCAACAGTGAAATGGAACGAAGAATTTTTGAATGACCCATAATGTCAAGCTAGAAATGCTGTTTCCAATAAAATGACTACATGGATTTCATCCAGCCCCTGGGAATTGCCCTGAGCAGGGCTTACAAATTTGAAGACTAACACACACATCATGCACCCTTTGGCATAAACCCAAGCTTCAAGCAATTCACTGGGGAATCTCATGGACAGTCCAGCTCCCTGATAGGTGGTCATCAGCCAACTCTATGGTCATTCCAACAATACAGAGCAGAAAAGCAGGTGTATCACAGCTAATTAAAGACACAATATGAAGCAATTTCACCCAGTCCTCTCAGGAGTGGGATGTGGATTCATGGCCACACGACCCAGCCTCCAAGGCCAGAACTCCTGACATGTTCATATGTCTTTTAAAATTGGAGACTTGTAAGAATAAGGTTTCTGAAGACCAGAATATATTTTCATGTGGATGGAAGTACATGGGAGGGTGGGCAGATTTGCTGCAAAGCTGAATGGTGTAGAAAGCAATGCAGAACACGAGAACTGCAGTGGGAGTGCTTTGTGGGCCAGCTTTTGTTGTTGTTGTTGTTCTATTCTAACCTTAGCCAAATGATTTAGAAAACCTTCCATGCAGACAGAATGTAGAGGTGCTTTCTCTCTTGCACTCACGGTCCTAGTAGAATTAGTGACTAGGAGAGACACAGACTCCTTATTTTCTTAGAGAGTGGGAGAAGACCATCACTTTAGGGAAACTAAATGAAATGCAGATTCCAAGGCCTCCTTAGCACCAAGGAAACAGAAGCTCTAAAATGAGGGACAATCAAATCTGTATCTTATCAAACCACTGGCCCACAAGCTCCCAAATGACTTTAGCCAAGCCAGATTCATGTTACCAGAATAATCTTTGTGATTTTAGGTCAGGGATCTGTCTCATAACACCCACTTGATCTTAGATAGGGAGAAGAAATGAAGGAGGGGGGATCATTTCATTACTAAAACCTTATAAACCCAGGGGGAAGTTAGGGTCTGGCCTTATTTGCATGCAGGGACAGGGCATGCCATCATTTGCATGCCACCCCAGCTGTCTTGATGAGAAGTTAATGTCCCTTCCTTCCTCTCACCCTGCCCTTTCCTGGGTCCCTTTTGAAGGTTTGCCAGGCTCTAGGACTGGTCTGAGATAACTTCTTAGCCATACATCAGGCAGCCAGGGTTCTTGATTGCATAAACTTAAGGACATTTCTGGAATTGCTGGAACACATTAATTTTTAATTTTTTGTTTTTTAAGACAGAGTCTCACCCTAATGCCCTGGGTAGAGTGTAGTGTGTCATAACTCACAGAAACCTCAAACTCTTGGCTCAAGCAATCCTCTGGCCTCAGCCTCCCAAGTAGCTGGGACTGCAGGTATCTGCCACAATGCCTGACTAGTTCTCTATTTTTAGTAGAGACATGGTCTCACTCTTGTTCAGGCTGGTCTTGAACCCTTGAGCTCAAGCAATCCACACACTTCAGCCTCCCAGAGTGCTGGGAATACAGGCATGAGCCACCGTGTCCAGCCTTAACACATTAATTTTTATTATTGCATTTATTTTTCCAAAATACCACTGGGAAAAATAATTGGTGAGGTATGAAAATATCCTCTATTTCCTTACTGGATAGGATTTATTTGTCTTAAAAATCCACATATACTCAATCAATACAAACTAGGACGTGAGAATTTTAATTTCAAGCTTTCCTGTGTTGACAGGCTAACGTTCTGACATTGCTTCTTGGCTCCTGCTTCCATGGCCATATGACAGTCTTCAGATGTTACTATTAATAACTGTTAGATACTTGAAATTCTTCTGTTTTTTTCCAGAAGAGTTTGAACAGCATGCCCTGAAGTCAGAGGGATGGAGACAGGTCTGTCCCAGGCTACCCTTCCCTCATCGGCCCTCCCTGACTTTAGCCTCGGAAATCACTGGGAAAAGCTGGTCAACCACCCTTGACATCCTCATTCAGTACAAAGTCCAAGGAAGCTGACAGGGCATTTAGTGGGCTGCCCTTAGGTTTTGTGTTTTTTTCCCTTGTGGCCATTATGGCAAGGAAATCCTGAGTTAATTCTTGGAATGTGACTCAGGCCACATGGCCTTTGAAGGGAAAGAAATTCCACATCCAGGCAAAAGCCACACTTTAACCAAAGATTAAAACCACATTTTTCAAATGAAATACAAGGTAAGGAGTTGGGTTGGAAAAAAATAAACAAAAATAAAAATAAAGAAATTGGGGTGGGTCTAACATTTTCTGCCTTGGTCAGAAAAGCCTAAGTATTTCTCTTGGTTTAAACATGTAAGTGGGCCATCCAAATCTCTTTAAGAGTCACCTTGTCCTATAAAGGTACTTGGATTTTTTTTGAATAGTCATTAAACAAATTAATGATACTATTTTTGAAATAGTTTAAAATCAAGACCATAAAGGCATTGAGAGAAAACATAAAGTAATGTTTTATAATCTTGGGGAGAAGAGATACCCAGGAGTAAAATCAAAATTCTAAATACTAAAGGAAAATACTGTCAGCTTCGACTAAGTCCAAATTAAAAACTTCTAGAGGCAAAAAGCACTGTAAATACGTAAGGCAAATGTCAAGTGAAGAAGGGCGTTCATTGCAACATGTGACCTGTGAGCCGATATTCTTAGACACAAGAAGAGCTTGAAGACCCACTGGGAAAGAATGAGTGCCCACCAGGAAGCTGAGCTAATGGACAATTCAGGAGGCAGAGCAAAGGGGAAGGATGGTCCATGAGCACACAGAAAGATGTTGCCCATCAAGAGTATCAAAGACAAAGCAAATTCAACGAGATTGTCTTTCACCGCTAAGTTTGGAAACCATTAAAGTGACTGATAATGTCCAGGCTGTGAAGTAGGTAGAGAAAGGTACACTCTCAAGCCCAGCTAGTGGGAACATCAAATAATGAATCTTTTATTATTAGTTTTATTATTGATGGTGATATGTTTCAAAACTATCAACGTGCACATCATTTGACTTCGGAATTCCACAGCCTTGAACAGACGTATTTATAAGGATGTTGGTCAAGCCCTGTTTAATTGTTAGGCCTTACAAGTGTGTCACTATGGGTGCAGTGGGTGGGGTTTGTATTGAAGCACACAATGTGTATTTTAATGCAGTTTTAAAAATAAAGCCCAGAAGCTGGAGTCTTCAGTGAACTATGATGGCACCACTACACTCCAGCCTGGGCAACAGAGCCAGACCCTGTCTTTAAAACAAACAAGAAGAAAAAAAAAATGCTCAAAACTAGGCCCTATGGCAGGTGTCTGCAATCCCAGCTACTCAGGAGTCTGAGATGGGAGGATGGTCTTGAGTCCAGGAATTTGGGACCAGCCTGGCAACACAGTGAGACCCTGTCTCAAATAAAAACTTAGGAATAAAGTCTATAGTAATAAAAATACTATAACTTTTATGGCATATTGACCATTTAAAAACAGTAGTTTATAAAACAATATAAATGAGAACTGGAAAGATGAATTCCCATTAATTCTAAGATGAATTAGAAAGTTACCATCAATTACCACTGGGTGATGGAATAACTTACTGATGAAACTCATTTTCCTCTTCAAAATTGTGCTGCCTGGCCTTTCACACAATGAGAAAATGTCATGCTTATAACCAGAAAACAAAGTCAGATAAGGTTGGTTTTATTTTGGAAAAAAAATGTTTGACTTTGTCTCCAAATGGAGGGAATCCTTATAGATAGAGACACTTAGCCATACATTTATAGGGCCAAAAAGAGAAAAAGCAAGTTTGAAGTAATTCTCTTCATCTTGGAAACTGGATGCAGAATCTGGATCCCCCAAATTGTATGTATATTCCAGTCTTTTCTGAAACTCCATTTTCTACCAGCACCAAATTCTCATTGATTTCCAAGATGGAAATATAATTTGGCTTCCCACAGTAGCGGTCTGTTAGATCACTTATGGAAACCCTAACTGTTTGACCTTGACGTAGCCTTGAAGCAGCAGGCCCTTGAGTCGCAGAGTGACCAACACACTAGCAGAGAATGTGATCACAGGCTCCACAACAAGGTCTCGACCGAGAGCCATGGGTTTCAGAGTCTGCTTAGTCTCCCTGCCACCTGTTTCATGATCTCAGCCACTGCCTTGCCAGACTATGACGACGGCAAGCTTAAAGAATAAAATTCTCTCTAGCCTTTAAAATGCTAAATTATAAAGCATTTCTTATGAATTTCTTTTTGTTTCTTTTTTTTTTTTTTTTGCTAAATTCAGCCCAAGATGATATTCAAAGCGATTTTTTCCCCTGGGCTCCTCTTGGTCACCTAGACACTGGGGAGGAACTGATTCTCTGTCAATGTCGAATCTGGGGCAGAATAGTCCATTGGAGGTTCGTGCCAAGGTCAAAGACTTGGCTGGCTTCTGTTTGTTTGAAAAAGCTCAACCATAATACCATTTATCTTGTAAAAGCTGGTTCTCCTACTTTTGAAAAATTTTTTGCCAAAACCTCAATAGAGTGATAATCGGGGATAGGATTTTCTAAATCGCAGGTAAGATAATTGAACAATATCCTGTTATGCCCCTAGGGAAAACATTTAAAACAAGATTCATGTTAAAGGTGAAAATTAGGCAGAAGTTAATAGCATCTGGAAAATTTAATATGACATCCTATTTCCAATACACTTGCATATCAGCTAAAAGTTCCTAGAAGGAGACAAGCATTTACCTTTTCAAAAAGGTTTTAGTAATACGTGAAAAGTGTTCTCATTTAACTGGCGGTGGGAGGGTTGGGAGAAACAGGAAGTGGCAAAGAGGCCAAAGCAGTGAGCAGAGAGAAAGGCAATGTCTTGTTTTCTCTACCTGGAAGCGGTGCCCAGGGCAGTGATCCAAGCTTGGAAAATGCCAGCAAAAAAGGAGAAGGGGTTTTTCCTGGTCACTATAAAGTAAATCAGGGGGAGAAAGATGCCCCCATGGATGATGAGGCCCACAATCACTGTTACCATGTACATCCCCAGTTGCCTAGCAACCACTTCCAAGTCCTTGATTGCAATGATCTTCCCACAAATTAGGCAGGCGATACCCAGGGGAGAATACCTGAAAAACACAAAAGGAAAAATGAAAATAAAACCAACATTGAAGAGATCATTATCATATTCAGAACTTAAATCTGAGGCTGTATCTGTACTGCACCCTGAAGAAAACCCTTCACTTTTCTGTCTAAAAAGGGTTTTGCTGAAAAGGGTCAGAAGATTCAAAAGATGCTATTTTTGACTTGGGGCTAACTGCCCTAACTACTGAAGTCTTTTTCTGGATCTGGTGGTGTCTGCTCTGATGAAAAGTTCAAACGCAAACTTGGTTGTTAAGGTGAGTTTTAGGAATAATAAAAAACAAAACATGCTTTACCGTATTTTAGCTTTACCGTCATCTGCCATGTTAAAAGCTGAGGGACACAGGATATATGTTATTTCTCTGGGAATCTTGTTTGAATTCTGTGTTCCTCGGGCCCAGGCTAGAAATTTGGGAATCACTTTGAGCTTTACAGAAAGGTATAAATGGGTGTGGGGGGTGTAAATTTGCGCTATTTTTGCCTTAAAAGATAAGAGACTATATTAAAATGAGAGAGGGAGAGAAGGGGAGGGGAGAGAGAGAAAGAGAGAGATGCCAAAATAAGAAAACCATCTGATCCAAAAAGTACATTTAGAGAAATGAGGCTTTATTACTTCTGAGCCTGAAAGTCATGTTTCCATACTCCTCTGACAGTGCTGCTGGCCATTATTCACTGCGTTCCAAGCACCGTGGGGAGAGCTGCACACTCGCTGCCTCACTTAATTCTTACCACAACCCTACAGTTCAGTTATCACTATTCCTGTTTGGCAGAGAAAGAAACTGAGGTTCAGACAAGTTAAATAATCAGCCTCAGACCCCAAAGCCAGGAAGTAAGAGAAGAACAATCTCAGGTCTATGAAACTTCATGACTGGGGGATTTTCTTTTGCCAACATGAACCACTTCCCTGTAGCGATATGTCATAGCTCTCTACAGATGGCAATTTCTATCTCGCATTTTATAAAGAGCTTAGAAATGATTGCTGTCCTCATTCTTGGGGAAAGCTAACAATTTTCTCCCTCTCATCTCGCTCTCTTCTTCCTACTTGGTGACATCCTTTCCTTACCATCCAAGGTGGTGTTGCTGGGGCATGAATTGGTTCAGCCTGTGACGTTTTTGACCAAAAAGAAAATATTTGTGGGAAGCCTAATACCTTATTAAAAATGTCGAACATATCTGAGAAAAAGATTCTGGGGAAGATAGGCTCCTGGGGAGGTGAGGCAGTCAGGAAAATGAGAGGGACACCTAAACAGACTCGAGGCTTTGGTGATTGTTTCCAGACCAAGTCTTTTCCCAGGTTTAAAAAAAAAAAAAAAAAACACGTGAAGAGTAGATGACAAAACTGTATACAACCATGCGAGCTTGTCCTGTCCCCTACCAGCTCTGTGACTTGGTTAGTGGCTTTTTCTCATTTTGCAGACGTGAACATCAAGGGTCTGAAAGGCTGACTCCAACCTCACAGGGTTGCTGCAGGGATTACATTTTTGAACAGTGTCCACTGCTAGAAACCACTGCCCCTTCCCTGCCAGTACCATGATTTGTTCTCTGACTCCTGATAAAGGAATCCCTTGTAGGTTTTCTAATATATACCCCACTGTCCTATTATCACCCACGCTTAATGAGTCACGTCTGAGTTAGCGAGGTTTTCTAGAACATCTCACGGGCTACCTAATTGCAGATGTTTTCCTAAGGAAAACATTCTCTCAAGAGAAAACTTATCCTGAACGAACTGACTTGTAAGTGACACTAGTTAGTTAAACCATCAGCCTAGCCACTCTCTTTCCAGATGAGCATCTCCTTGTCCTCTCCCTAGGGCGCAGGCTGGCCATGTTTGAGGATGGCTTCCCTTGACACCAGAAAATTTAAACGGCCTTTCTGCCATTTTACATTCCGGCATGAACACAGTCACAACATCTCTTAAAACGGCGGGGTAGTCTCAGGGGCCAGAGCTGTATTCACCGAGATTGTAAATATCTGAGCAGAATGCACTTTCCTATAAAGCCAAAGGCATTTATCTTCATAAACCAAGAGATTAATATTCTTTCTCCAAGATGTTTAGAGAAATTAAAAAGGTCTAGAAAAATACAGATACAAGCAGTTTTGCGTGCCATTCAATTTTCCTCCTCTTCTGGGAGAAACAATTTGTAGAATGGAGAGAAAATGTTTTCAAGACTGTTTGCCAAGGAAGACCTGCTATGGAGTCCCCCTGGAGAATGATGTGAGCCAGGGCCAAAGGAACTAGAGACCAGTAACAGTTTACCCCTGGAACACTCAGCCAGCTGGGAAAAGCATGTTTTCACTGTAAACCGAGAATGTCAATCAAAGGCCTGAAAGTGTCAATCAGAGGCCAGAATGTCAATCAAAGGCCAGAAGTATTTTGGTTGATAAATACTACAAGCAAGAGCCCCTTGTTAACCTAAACACCTTGGTCTTCAGAACTAGCACGAACATTAATTAGGACATGAGAAGAGCTTTCCTATGCCTGTTTTTTAAAACGAGTAACTTGAGCTTTCACTCAGAAACTGAGGCTTGCCGGGCGCAGCGGCTCACGCCTGTAATCCCAACACTGTGGGAGGCTGACGAGGGAGGATTGCTTGAGCTCAGGAGTTCGAGACTCGCCTGAGCGAAAGTGAGACCCCCAACTCATTAAAAAAAATGGAAAAACTCAGCCGGGCGCCGCGGCGAGCGCCTGTAATCCCAGCGGCTTCAGAGGCTGAGGCAGCAGGATGCCCGCAGCTGGAGTCTGAGGTTGCAGCGAGCTCCGACGCCACTGCCCTCTACTCAGGGCACAAGGTGGAACTCTGTCTCAACAACAACAACAAAAAACAAACAAACAAACAAACAAACAAACAAAAAAAGAAACTGAGGCTTCTGAGTTCCTGGGTTTCCATATCAATGAATTGTCTCATTGAAAATGACATTCTGGTTGGGTGTGGTGGCCCATGCCTGTAACCCTAACACTTTGAAAGGCTGAGGTGGGAGGATTCCCTTGAGCTCAGGAGTTCAAGACCAGCCTGAGCAAAGCAAGACCTTGGCCCTACTAAAAATAGGAAAATTAGCTGGGCTTTATGACAGGTGCCTATAGTCCCAGCTACTCAGGAGGTTGAGGTAAGAGGATCACTTGAACCCAGGAATTTGAGGTTGTTATGAGCTAGGCTAATGCCCCAGCACTCTAGCCTGGGCAACAGAGTGAGACTGTCTCAACAACAAAAATGACATTCTGTGGAAAATAATGGGCAAATGCCTAGTAATCAAAATCACCACCAAAGCTCCTGAGATAAAGCAAATAATCAAAGCCACAAACTTTGATTTTGCATAAAGAAGCAGAAGGTTCCGCTGAGAGTTCTGAAGCCAGGCAATGCCTAGTAACTGTCGGTTCAGTTTCTACACTAGAAGGATGTGTCTACAGAATGAGGAAGAGGGAGTGGCTTCCATGCCCCTCTTAGACTAGACCCATTCTCAGCTCTGTGCTCTGTTTTCCAGGCCATTCATTCATCTAGGACTGGCCTGTTGAGTCTATCTTACTGCTGTGTCCCTTTTAGCCTCTACCCACTTTGTACCTCAGCCCTTGCCAGCCTAAGGGTCCCACCAAGACCTCTCTCCCAGGACTGCTCTCAACCTCACAAACACAAACTCAGCCACAGCACACGAGATTCCCACAACTGAATTAGTGTCTGCGTGCCCTTGGCCACCTGCATCAAAATCCCCCGTCTGTCAAATTCCCTAGGTGCACCCCATACCTAGGGAGTAAGAATTTCCCAAGCTGACCTGGGGAATTTACATTTTAAACACTACAAGTAAATCGGAGGTGTTTGAAAACCAATATTTTAAGGAACAAAATCTAATCTGCCCCTGACAAGATGCAGAGGTCACTTGGTTGGCTTTTGGAAACCATTTTCTGTAGCTCCAACTTATTCAAGACCTTGGAGATCTAAACCTGCTGAAGAAATTGACTGGGGACTTTCAGGCCCAGAAAAAATGGTAGGATAGTCATTAGAACTGTGGTCAGCTGAGGGACTTCCCCAATCCTGCAGGGAAGCCACCCTGGTTCTGTCCCACACACATTCAATAACAATGTCAGTTTTCCACTTTGGGACAGATCCCCAGTGAAGGCAGAATTGGAAGAGCCTGTCAACAGAGTTAAAGACACATCTCAGGCGTTGCCTGAAGGTGCTGTTTGTACTTGGGCTCAGGAAGCAACATGAAGCTCCGTTTTTCTCAGTCCACTTAGGGATAGGTGTTCTAGCCACCCAAAGAGTGACTTTTGTTGAGAGTTACTGAAAGTGGATTAGAACTTTTCATCAGAACAGAGTGAAACTCGGTGTGTACTCCCTCCAGACATAGTACACCTCGAGAGACCTCCTTTTGTAAGTAAATTAACTCCAACCCATCCTGGTGGCCTGCAGGACTCTCCCACCAACCATTACCCTCCAGCCTCTCCAGACCTCTCCTATCATCCTGGAAAGACTTTCCCTTCGTCATTTCCTCTGCCTGGAACATCCTCCCCTCAGTTCTTCACCAAGCTGCCTGGCTCCTGCTCTGCAGGTCGTCATCAAAGTTCCAAAACAGCTCCGTGTGGTCACCAACCCAGCACTGTCCATCTCTACCCCCAGCCCTGGGACTTACTACTGTGTGAATTCTTATTGCTCCCTTTTGGTTTTCCTCTCTCCTTTCCCTAGAATATAAGCTCCACCAGGCCATGAAACTTTCCCTGTCTTATTCCACCACTGTGTCTCCAGTGGCTAAAATCACGACCATCACACAACAGAATACGTATTGAATGAAAGAATGAATGGGTTGGCAAAAGAGCCTTTGCTTGACTAAACTTTAGAGGGGCTCCTGAACCTTCTCTTGGGCCCATCTGGACACTTACTTATAAAATCCATTTTTAGGAAAGAACCCTGCTAATCAGGTTAGCAAGAATCCCCACCCTCAAAATCCGGTCTCCCTTGATATCCCCTGATTGGGTTCCTCATCCTCCACCACCCCCCTTGGCCTGTTTGCAGCAGAAAGGTTATTAGGTCAGTTTACCCAGAAACTCTCTTACCCCTAATGTTTCCTCTTTGTAATTTTCCATTCAATGACACCCCCAGACCCCACTCTATGGCTATAAATTTCCACTTGCTCATGCTATATTCCGAGTTGAGCCCCATCTCTCTCCCCCACTGCAAAATACCATTCCTGTTTGTGGACTTTATTCTTACTGAAATAGTTCTGCATAAAGTCTGCTCTATCATGCTTTAACAAACGTCACAACAGTTTTTCTTTAATGGTGTGGCTGGATGGTTATTTACCGGAATGGAGAAACGGAAGGGCGGGCAGAGAGTTTACTTCTCACCTTATGTTTTTAATGATGTGAGATTATGAAAAGTTTTGGTTTCTGTTTAAGTTTTTCAGATTTTGAAAAAGAATGTTTTAAAGAACTTTATCAGAAAATGAGGATATGAAAATCACTCCATAAGTAAGAGCTTTTCAAGCTTCTGAAGGAATTTATGAACACAGAGATACAAAGGCTAAGGGCTTGAAATGATGAAAGTAATGATAATAACAAGTAGCTATAATACTAATTCAAGTAAAACGCTCAGACAGTTCCCAGCACATAGGAAAGGCATGGTGACTATTAATCACAGTCTTACTTAATTCTCACAGCCACTCTATGACACGGATTCGACAATTATTCCATTTTCGAGAGAGGATATTGGGGGCTTAGAGAGTGTCTAACCTGCCTGCAGCCATACACCTTATAATAGAAGAAGCCTGGATTCAATCCAGTCTAAAGTCAGGGAGAACCTGACTCAGATGCCACTATCCCTTCCGTACAGCTGCACACACTGAGCAAGTCAACCTCTGTGCTTAGTTTTCTCACCTGCAAAATGGATAGCACCCTACTTCGTTAGGTACTATTGTGAAGAAGAAATAAGGTAAAGCAAGTAAAGTAACTGGAATAATAGTGAGCGTAGAGCAGGAACTTGGTCAATTTCCTATACGACTTAATAATAAGATCCTTGAATGAATGAGTTCATATGTGGATAGTAATTGAAATAGCACTGAGCATACAGTAAGCAGTTAATAATTCTAAGTTATAATTTAGCAATGATAATTATATCATCATAATCTTCTAAGTGTTGTATTTTGCTATTATTACTATTCTTACCACTACATAGAAAAAAAAATGCAAAAGAATTTTGATTATTTCAGCTTGGGAGGGTGTCAAAGTGCCTGGCTGTTTTAGGCAGACCCTGCATACACACACCATTAGCAAATGCTGATGCTGAGGCGTGGGCTGAAAAATGAAAGCCACGCGTGGAATTAGCATCCCATGTCATCCGGCATCTTGCTGACCCTGTGCCTGGATGAGGTAACCAGCAGATGCGGGAATTACTCATTCCATGAGTCTTATCCCTGCCTCACGGTGGCTCTTCCTCTCTTAGACATGATGCTAAATCTTTTCCATGACAGGAAACTGTTTAATCTGCACTACCATCCATTGCCTGGGGAGAAGGGAGGCTGCTGTACTTTATCCCACTGTGTTATCTGATTTCCTAGAAGCTTCCATTTCCTGCAAGGGTTCGGTGGAAATGTGTCTAGGAAGGAAGCTGCACATATTGCCCACGTCCCTGGCACTGCATTACAGAAACGTGGGCTGCACGCTGGGAGTAAGGATGCACACACTGCTAGACGTTCTAGGATACAAGGAAGATCCTAACATTTAAGCAAGAGACCTGTTCTGCTTTATGTATTATCATTTATTAAATCCGATGGATCTGAAGGACTTAAAAACATATTTTTTACAACACCACCATGTTACCTTAAATCTTCATACAAAAGAAATACCCAGAAATCTAACATTGCCTAGGAAGCTGAAGAATTAGTATAATAATAAAAGAGAACATATTATTTTACTAGCATCCTTTCTGTGTTTTAAAAGCACCATAAAACCATGGTCCAAACAAGCCAGGGCTATTAAATCTGGTTCCTGAAATCCCGAAGCTTTTAGCTACCCCATTTATTCCTGAAGTTTTCATAAGAACTGACTACAGGCACATGACTGTGGTTGATTCTGTGGAGATAAAAAAAAAAGTCAAGGACAGATTTTTGCCCTTATGAGCGACGGTGAAAGGCAGGACAAAGACAAAGATAATAAGCAGCTGGAGTTTCGATGGAAGACACCTGGACAAAAGTGGAGACACATCAGAGGAGGAGCAGGGAGAAGGTGGTAGGCCTGGAACGTGCAAAGATGGGAAATACATAACCCAGAGTTCCTGGGGAAACAGAACACAGATGTGGCCTGGGCTGAGAGTGGTTCCATTTTTTTCTAAGCAGACCGACAGGACCATCCTAGAAGTCTGAAACAAACACATAGAAAAAGCTTCCTGTCTGATAATACAGGACACCAGAAGGTTCCAATCACTGAAGCTTCCTTAATGGGGAAGTGGAGACTCCGGATCCCTGGGCTACACTAGAGTATAGAACCACTGACTATAAATGCACAGGAACTAAAGTGGAGACAATATTGCTTAGAGGATTCAAGCAACAACAACAACAAATACCTTGCTTCTGCATCAAGGATTTTAATACCCATATGAACCCCAGTTTTTCATTTTCCTGGCTATGTAATCTTAAGCCAGTTAATTCACCTTCAATGAGCCTCAGTTGAATTTTAAAATGGGAATAATAACACCATCTTTGCAAGGTTGTTGGGATTACATCTGATAGGTATTAAACCCTATCATGGCTCTTCACAGGGAAAAGGAAATCAATAAATGATAGCTTTTATGATAATAATGATCATGATGACGTTAAAAGAATCAACTGGGGCGGGGAACCTCCAGCCTTGGGGCCTTCTTGATCTTTGAGTGTGGCCTTTTGACTGAATACAAATTTTACAGAACAAATCCTTTTAATAACCAAATCTTGATTTTCCCTATAAAACCCCATGAGACCAGACTTCCAAAAGCACTTACAGTTTATATATCCTTGGAATTTCATTTTTGTGTGCAAGATGACCTAACGACCTGTTTTCTCTTCTACATGAGTCCTCATGTCTAAGACATTGCTTTTGGACACCAGAATCTTGGAGCAGCAGTTCCCCTGCACTCCCTGCGTCACGCCATGTCCCTGGTGCCTGCTCTTCATCTGTGTCTCTAATACCTTCAGTCCTAATGATTGGTTTTCTAAAATTGCCTCTTTTTTTTTCTTCCAGTGCAAGGATCAGCAAACGTTTTTATATAAAGATCCAGGCAGTAAATATTTTAGGTTTGGGGGCTATACAGACTCAGTGGCAACGATTAAACTTTGCCATTGTAATATGAAATCAGACACAGGCAATACATAAAGCAAATGGGCATGACTCTGTTTCAATAAAACTTTATGGGCACTGAATGTGAATTTCATGTAACTTTTATGTATCATGGAATATGATTCTTCTTTTGAATTTGGGGTTTTAGTCATTGTAATGGACTGAATATTTGTGCCCTCCCCCCCCATTTGCTCTCCTCTCCCCCACCTCCACTGCAAACTCATATGCTTCCAATACACTGTTGTTAAGAGGTGGGCCATCCGGGTGGTGATTAGAATTAGTGATTTTAACAAAAGAGGCCTGAGGGGGCCTTTTTGCCCTTTCTGCCATGTGAGGACACACACGTAGGAGCCATCTATAAAGAACGGCCCTCACCAGACACCAAATCTAGTAGCACCTTGATCTTTGACTTGTCTGCACCCTGATCTTGAGCTTCTGCTTCCAGAACTATAAGAAATAAATCTGTGTTGTTTATAAGCCACCCAGTCAATGGTTCTTTGTTATAGCAGCCTGAACTAAGACAGACATACAAAAACATAAAACCCATTCTTAACTCACTGGCTCTACAATGAGATGGCAAATTTGGCCAACGGCTATCATTTGCTAACCCTGCTTCTACTGGTAGCACCAAGAAAGAGATTTTCATCCCTCTCTCAAAGCCTTTCTGGAGTGCTATTTGATTAGTCCCTGCCCACTCTTTCTGGCTAGGAGGGCTCCAGTAATCTCTAGGGACCCCAACAGCGTCTCACAGCCCCCCAAAGAGGAAGTAAGAACAAGCCCACTTACCACATGATCATGATCACTAACTTCATTACGATCTCATTCAAGATGTTGAAGAATTCCACCATCAGCTTGGCCTGCTCACCCATCTTCCCCATGGCAATGCCAAAAGCAATGAAAAACCCTATCAGACCTGTTGGGTGAATCACAGTACACAGAAGGAAATCATGAAGTATGTGTTCTTTTTTTTCCCCTCATTCTTTCCGATTCCTGAATATGGAACCATGTTTTAATGCCCAGGAAGTAGGCATTAAAAGAACAAGGTGTTTTATTTCACACTGAAAGTCACTTTTCCCTTGACAATTACGGCTTTCCTTAACATTTTCCACAGGAGCAAGTTAAACGTTAAGTAGTGTTAGTTCTTTGAAGAAAATGAATCCATTTACATTTCTAAACTAATTTCTCTTCTCTCTCTCCTCTCACTTATGAGATCATATGAAACCATGTGTAAGTAGATTCCATCGTTATACAGATTAACAAGGCTTAGAAAGGCTTGTTGGGACTTGGGTATTACCATGAGAACTTTTGGAATGGCAGAGACCAATTAGTCCATACAGTCTTTGTTGGGGTTAAATCTAGATTGTTTAGCGTTATCCCAAATTAATGCATAGCGTCTGTGTTTCACTCTAGGAAAATCCTAAATGGGAATTTTTTTTTTTTTGATTGCTACACACCGACCATGAGAGGGAGGAGGAACGTGGAGAAGTCAAACAAAGCAGTCAGAAATCTAAAACAAGTAGGGTAACTGCAGTTGACCCAGTTGGTTTGAATTTAACCCATTATTTGTGAATTTGTCTTAATTCGTTTCTGGTCAAAATGGTAAGAATGCTTTCTTTTTAAATTTTATTTACATTTTTCAGGATCATAAAGACAACATAGATTTCACTGTCAGGCTTTGCAAGTCACTAACCCCTCAGGCCCTCTTTTTCCTTCCTTAATTTTTATCTAGGTTCAGCCCTGCTCCAGTGCCCCAGACTCCACGTCAATCCTTCCCACCACAGGCAGGAAGCATCCGAAGAGCTCGGTTCCCACCTCCTTCACAACAGCATCAGACTGTCCTGGATCTTGGAGTAGCTCCAGTACCCAACAATGGGTCTTATTTCTGTGTAGCTTTGCCTCATCCCCAGTGCCCAGGGTCCTGGGAAGCTGCCCTATACTTTAGTTTGTTCAAGGCTTAGCCTGGCTTTTCTCTCCCCCCTGTGCCAGTTAGCCCTCTCAGTGTCCCACCCCAGCCCACCGAGAGACTGGCTGTCTATAATGAGTGCCCATCACTATGAGCTGCCTGAACCCTGACCAGCTATTGCCAGTCTTGGGGCCCCAACTCTAACTACTTGTATGGGCCATAAAGCAATGTTGCAATACCTCTGGCTACAGGGCTTTGCTTGCCCACCTGCCATTTCCTTTGAAGTATGAGCCACTTCTCTTCTCAACCCCTCCCCCATCTTTTCTCCACACCTGCCCTATCCCACTTTGGCAGACTTAAAGTCCAGTTCCTTCCGACTGTATCCCATTTCCTATTGTGGGGGTAGGTGCTACCCCGGAGGTAGGTGCCACCTGGATTCTTGACCTATATCAGATAAATGATAGCACTATAATTTGATTCTCTTAGAAAGGAATTCTTTGTCTCTGAACTCTTAACTTTCCCCCTAGTCACCTACCCCACTAACCTCTCTACACATAGCACATGTCGCCTCGGACCATTTAACTACCCTTTGCTGAATTTTTTCCACCTTTAGCAAAAAGAATCTAGCACTTGCACTTGGGACTGTTAGTATTTGGTATTTAATATCTCCCATTTTAGCTTTCAGCCAGAAAGCTTGATGAGTGACTTCAGAAGTGAGTTTTGGGCACAGGAAAGAGAATAGCTTAGTGAGGATTAGAGCCAGGACAGAGTGGACTGGTTCTGTAGTAATATATGAAATCAATTTTCAATGTGAGTCCTTTTTTTAAGCCCACAGAGAAGAGTTTGCAAGGTGGCTGGTGAAAAGGAATCAAGCTGAATATCCTGGCTGAGAATAGCTGAGGGTGCTTGGTTACTTCCATTTCAAGGGAAATGTACAAGCTATCAAGGTCCCAAAGAACTGGGATGAAAGCGCTCCCCTTGGTGTCAGCAGAAACTGGTCGTATCTGTGAGTACAGGAGACAGACTTTTAAAGGAGCCATTGGAGTTGGTTTCAGCAGTTGGGATTAGAGTAGAACCCAGACTTGCTTCTAGAGGGGGTTTTTAGGAGAGAAGCCGGTCCCTAAGGTAGTGGAAGGCCAGAGCCAGGGTTGTGTCTTCACTTTTTTGCAATGCTTAATCCTGGGGACTTTCCAAAGCCCAAAACAGGAAGACAGAAACACAAACTCAGAAAAAAAAAGCCACCCTCTCTGCCCTTGGAAGATCATGGAAAGAACCTTATTTCGCCATGATTTGTAAATTGGAAGTTTCTCAACAATCTAACTCCCCTCAGCTTCCCAGAGCCTTGATCTGCACTTGGATGGAAACCGACATTCATCGGGTTATTTCCCTCTGTAAACACTGCCTAATTGAAATCTCTCATTGGAACGGGGGTGTTCCATTTGAACAAAGCCCTCTTAGACTTCGTTGCTGGGGTCGAGAGAGTAGTGAGTTGTGTTGAAACTCCCCCGTACAGCCCAAGGTCATGTGACTTCCCAGAATCCACCAAGACTCTGGAACCCACCAGGAAGGTCTTTGAATTATTCACTCCAGAGCCTTGCCCCCATTACTCATGGCTGCAACCTCCTCCAGAGGCTGAAGAAAACAAAGATAGTAGAGTCTTCAGTTGTGACCAACCTAATGAACCAAGGGGGGTTTGGCTGGGTCACAGATATCTGGGTCATCAGGGAGAAGAGCTGCTCTGCGGTGGATGCTGAGGACTTTCACAAAACCTTCTGCCTCTCACCTCCCCCTCGCTGATTACTAGTAATGTGTACTGATTTTCCATCGCCTGGCAACCTAGTTAGCTTATCTCTTCCCTCACTCTCACTTGTGTAGCCAGCTTCCTGTCAGGCCAAATAACAAAGATCCCCTTTAAGACATTTATACTCTACTCTGAATAGATTTGGCTTGTACCCTTGCATTATGCACAGTACACTGTTATGATTTAAATAAAAATAAATACACTTTAAAAATGAAAGAAAGAAAGAACCCCTTCTGCTTTTCAGTGACTGGGTGGTCCTGTTCCCTCTCCCTCTTTCTGTCCACCATCCTGGGTGGGTAAGGAGTAAGGGCTACTAAATGGAGAACCAACAGGACACTCAATTGCTTTTAGAATTTCAGATCAACAATGAATTTCTGTTTTTTTTTTTTTAGTATTTGTATGTCCTATGAAATATTTGGAACAGACTAACAAATTATTTTTTGTTTATCAAAAATTCAAATTTGACTGGATATCTTGTATTTTATCTGGCTACCCAGCTAAGAAGACAGGACATTTGGTATTTTGGATGACAAAAGATGGAGAAGCCACTGAGCTAATCTAGTTCCTTTTTTTTTTTTTTTCTTTTTGTAGTTTTTGGCTGGGGCTGGGTTCGAACCCACCACCCCCAGTATATGGGGCCAGCACCCTACTCCTTGAGCCACAGGCACCGCCCTAAGCTAATCCATTTCTAAACAGCTGTCACCTGAGCTCTTAGAACTCTCATCTGGAGGGTCAGAAATCATTTATCCAGAGTCCCCATTCCTCCTAGGTCTTCTCTAAATGTCCTGTTTCTTGCCTTGGGGACACCATTCTGAGGGTGGATGGCAGGGAAATAGACCCATGGCGGGGGGAAACAGGGCAATTTGGAGCCACTCACATGATGGGAAATCTCTGTCTCAGGGTGGGGGTGTTTTTTAATGGAGCTCCTCAGCTCCTTTATAATGACTGTCACTCTATGCCTGAGCACACGGCACGTGCTCTATGCATGATCCTGTTCAATCCTCACACTGACCTATGAAACAAATGCCGATCCCATGTCCATTTTACAAATGAAGCTCAGAGGGGTGGATCAACTGGACTAAGGTCATGTAATCAGTAAGTGGTCCATATAGGGTTATAACCCAGGTCTGCCCACCTGCAGACCAAAAAACCTCTGGGACGGCACCTACCTCTGGGGTGACACCTGCCTCTACCTTAGGGGTGACACTTACCTCTGGGATGGCACCTACCCCTAGGGTGGCACCAACCTCTGGGGTGTCACCTACCTCTTGGGTGGCACTACCTCTGGAGTGGTACCTACCTGTGGGATGACACCTACCTCTGGGGTGACATCTACCTCTGGGATGGCACCTATCTGTGGAGTGGCACCTACTTCTGGCGTGGCACCTACCTCTGGGATGGCACCTACCTCCGGGGTGGCACCTACCTGGGAGATAGCATGCTAAGAAGGCACTGGGCTCAGGGAAAGGGCTTCTTGGGATCCCAGAAAGTTAAACAAATTCATCTCTAAAGTCCCTCTGGCATCTGCCCTAAAACTTTACCCTCCTGGTGGCACTGAGTTTGTTTTCAGACTGTGAAGGCTGGGGTGCTCTAGTCCCCACACCCAGCATAGCACTGGTATACAAGGGCAATCAAAAAATACTTAAGAAATGAAAGAAATGTATGTGTCACTTAACAACATGGAGAGTCAGAGAAAGGGACTTGCCAATGCTATCGCAGAGTCGGGACCATGCCTAGAGACAGAGAGTCAGTCCCCTGTGTTGCCATTCCCTGGTGATCTCTCTGCCCCCTTCCTCTCCCTTAATCACTCAGTGCTTATGCCTGGGGACCCTCCAGCTGCTCCCCAGAGAGAATTCCTGCTCCCCCTGGAGGACAGAGGAGGTACTGTGTTTGAGAAGGAGGGTGGGAGAGGTTGGGCATTGTCAGGGAGCCTGAAACCTCCCTGAGGAGGGGCCCTAGGCGGCCTCCTAGCCTACCTAGGACATTCATGCCGTCCTTAAACTCCAGGCCTTTCTTGATAACCATCGTCGTCTCCTCAGGAGCCTCAGTCACGGTTTCATTCAACAGAGAGACAACTGTGCTGGTCGCATTGGCTTCCTCGTCTGACGAAGGTGCCACGGAGACTCTCTTCGTCACTGTTTGAATCTAATGCAGTGAGGAGAAAAAAAGCATAAGGTTGAGCTATGATCTGAAAGGTAAGAGAAATAAATAAAAAGCTTGTCCACTCGATACATGTGAAGGCTCCCAATATGTTAATAATAATTAAGAAATGCCAAAACAGGGTTACAAAAATTTGACAATTTTTAATAGGTTTATGTTTAACAAAGTGGTATTTTATTACACACATGCAGCGAGGTATAATCATACCAATCACAGATAATTACATTTAAAAATTACTTTGTAAGTGTATTATAAGGAGTGTGGTCCAATAATGGGATGAAAGCTTAAAATTGGGGGATGGACATCTTCCCAATTCTTCCTCATTCTCATTATGAGAATGGAAGAAATAGTTCAAGGATATATCAAATGTCTAATCTGGATGCTCTTGGCAATTGTGAAACCCAGTTCAACAGTCCTCCAGGCTCCATATGATGGGTCCCAGATCCAGGCAAGAGTAGGCAGAAGAGAGCCTCAGCAGGGGTCAGATCAGCCCCTCATGATCCATCTGCTCTCCTCTGCCTGACTCCTCTCAGGCAGAGTCATCACAGGCTGCCATTAAGGAGTTTGGGTCCTTCTTGACCCAGGCTCTGCTGGGAATCTCCATCTGGGCACCAAATGTGCCAGCTGCCACCAGCCACCATGGCAAAAGCATTTGCTCATATTTCAGATCCAAATGAAAGGTGGGAAGACACCCTCTCCTTCTGGGCCATGATGCCAACCAAGCCTTGCTCGATGTTCCCCAGGCATCTCTGTGCAGATGGCTCACGAGGAACCTCTCATGCTATTCCTCGACATTCGTGGGAACGGTCCTATTTTTAAAGGTGCCAGGCACCCTACATGCAGAGTGCTATAAAAATCCACATTTGAGCTCAAAAAAATGCCACCTCCAGAGGCATTAAAATAAAACTCAATGCAGAATCCTAGAATGTCAGGACTGGCCCATCATGGGTAACAGATGGCTGGGCCCTGAATAGATACGGAAGGGGATGCATGGGGAAGGCAAGTGACTTGTCGGATGTCATAGAGTTATTGGCAGAACTGGGACTTCAACTCAGATGACCTGACCTCTATTGAGTTATTTCCTCTGTCTGTGCTGTATTATTAAACTACATGGACCCAGCCTCACCACTCTGGGCTCACTAGTAAGCAATGCTGAACTGACCAGCTGTCTGCAGTGGGGCAGCAGGGAGGCCAGCATTCTCTGAGGTGAGGTAGGTGCTCTCTGCTCTGGCCTGGCCATGTACTCTTGTGCCTAGGGAGGACAGACAGCTCCCTGGCCCCTTCACCTGGGCAACACTGGTGTAAAGAGGGAATGTAGGAGTGATCAGAAGGAAACTTTCTGTGAACAACAGAGTCACACTCCCAGGAAATAAAAGGAGATCCAAGCCCTATCCTGAGAAAGCTAAGGAAGCCACAGCTTGAGTTAAAAGGAGGTCACAGGCCTAAAAAATGGTGGCTGAAGGATCACATTGGAGGCCAGGTACTTTAGGTATTATGTAGAATATCTCTGTGTCAACAGTAGCCTCTTAAAGCTCACAGGGCTGAGTAACTAACCCAAGGAAGCTTGCTAGTTAGTTGCTGAAGCAGGGACGGGGGGAGAGGGGGATGGCCACACTACACCCTCCTCGGAACTTGGCTCTGTGGGGAGCTGGCCCTCTTGTGTGTGGAGCGGGGGTCTGATCAGAGACAGTGAGGGAGGGAGAACCCAGTGGCTCCTAGGGAGAACCTAGTGACCCCTTCATAAAGGTGACTTATGTTGGAACCCAAAATCCAGTTTCCAAATAGCATGGGCCAGTGACCTAAGTTGAAGCTGAGACTTGACCACTGCAACTTGGGCCTAGTTCTCTCCCCGAGTTCGGGATTCACAGAACCTAGTTGGGTTGGGCAGTTTTATGTTGTGCTGCTATCACAGAATACCTAAAACCAGGTAATTTATAATGAACAGAAATTGATTTTTTCACAGTTCTAGAGGCTGGGAAGTCCAAGGTGACAGTGTCAGCGTCTAGTGAGGGCCTTCTTGCTGCAGCATCACATGGCAGCAGGCAGAAAGGCCAAGAGAGAGCAAGAGGGGCTGAACCTGCCCTGTGATAGCAGCACAAACCCCACCCACAAGACTTCATGGCCTTATCACTGGATAAAGGTCCCACTTCTTAATACTGTTACAATGGCAACTACATTTCAGCATGAGTTTTGGAGGGAACTAACATTCAAACCATAGTATGTGCCAACTCCAGTCTACCCAAGCACAAGCCACCATCATTTCTCACCTTAAAACCTGCAAAGCCACCTGACTGACCTACCCACCTTCTTCTGATCTACCTACATGCTATAGGTAAATGGCTACCTAAGCCCCCTCTATATAAATAGCTGCCAGGTTTAATATAGAAAAACCATCATTTTCGTGCCTGAAGCTCTCTTAATTTAGAAACCCCAATCCAACTGGGTCCTGCATGTGCTGGGTTTCACCTTTCTCCACTGATGACACCCTCACTCTGGCCTCATAGCACCTCCCTTCTCTTCTCTGAACACACTAAGTACTTTTGAGCCTGTGCCTCAGTCTAGATGGCTCTTCCCCAGACTTGGAAGAGGTTTCATACAGGTTTCCTCTTCCTTCCCCAGCTTGTTCTGCTGCCCTAACATCTCAGCTCAAACATCTCCCCTAGTTACCACCCAGTCCATCGTCCTGCTCTCGGCGTGTGCCCATCTTAATGTCCACGTCCCTTGCATGCCTCCCTGGTGTCTGTGGTGGTCTGGCTCCCTCCCCTCCCCTGGGGCAGGGACCTTGTCCATCTCAACCCTGTGGCTTTCTCATGCAAGGCAGAGAGCCTGGCAGCCAGTCAGGCACGCAAGTATTGGCTGAGTGAATGTACATAGATCACGGAATTTTCTGGAAGAAAAGGCGTGTGTGGTCTCAGTTATGGGGCTTGATTTAATGCTGTCAGGCCACACTTTATAGCCAATTACTCTCTTGGAAGCCTTACCTTGGTTTAGACCCAGCCCTAAACAGCAAACAGGGGACCTCCCTGCTCTCAAAGACACAGGGACCTGCCTTGAGCAAGCCAGGTCCTGCCACCCTAGGGGAGGCTGCAGCCTCTGCTCTGGTGACAGCTCGCCTTCCCCTTTATCTCTCTATTTTTAACACTGGTCAGGAAGCCCCCTCCACTTGAGAGAGGTAATTTTAAATCACTTCCAGCTGTCCTTCACGGACACAGAAGGCACCTCTCGGGTGCCCTTTCTGACTGGGAATGTCACATCCTTTCATACAGGTTTCCTCTCCTCGAGACCTCTTGAAGCCCTCCTTACCAGGCTTAATGTCTCTGTACCCTCCCTCACCCTGAGGTACAGGACTCTACAGTATTGTGCCACAGGACTCAGATTGTGCCACCCCAAAGCAGTGGCAGTTCTCAACCTTTCTAATGCTGTAGCCCTTTAATACAGTTCCTGTGGGTTGCAACCCACAGGTTGAGAACCACTGCCCCAAAGGACCTTGGCCCTGAGCTTACTGGAGACTAAGCTCAGTTCTCACAGGAATTTTGGTAGTGAAGGGGTAGGGTTAGGGCTGGTGGGGCAGGGAATAGCTTCCATCCCAGGGTCACAGATAGTTCCCCTTGCTGTGGACAGCTATATGCGAAGATTGCCCATCAATCAGAGAGGTTGCTGAATGTGAGGCTGGCTGATCCCTCAAAAGCACCCCCGAGGACCACAGCAACAGTGCTGGGAGGCTGCCTGCTTCTTGGTCCTGCCGTCTGGACTGAGATGATGACGGGTGTCTCCTTCTTGCACAGAGCATGGCCATGACTGGGGACAGGATGGAGCCCAAATCTGCCTTTCCCAGGCCCTACCATGGTCCCCCTACCTCATCTTCCATCAGCCCAGGTTCTGGCAGCTATAGTTCCAGAGTACTCTTTCCAAAATGTTCAGAATAGACTCAGTGCCCAATTGTGCCTGTCACTCCAGAGCAAGTCAATTCTCTTTCTCAGCAGGCTGGCTGAGGGTGAGCACATCATACAGAGGCAGCCTGGAGGCCACCCCCTCCGCAGCCAGCTTCTGTTCACTCCCTGACTTCCCCTGCCTGGAATGATTTTCATCAATATAGGGTCTTGGTACGTGTGCCAGCAAAATGACACTTAAAATCAGAGAAGCTATCCCAACCCAGAGCAAACTGGGCTTAACAGTGGTTGACATCTGCTTTTCAGGACCGGCTGGGAATGCAGACTTCTACCTATTTCCCACCTTCACTCTTCTGGGACTCCCTGGAAAAAAATGAAGGAGGCTCCTCAATTCTAGCTTAGTTCCCACCCAGGCGACTAGGAAGCGTGCGCTACCCTAAGCCTTGGGACTCGAAATAGGCTAGTGACAGGTCGGTTGCTCCTCTCAGCAGAATCATCCATTTTTAAGTCACGAGATTTAAAAAGTACATACATGGGGAAGCAGTTGATAGGAATACACAGTGCTACAAATTTTTACTGTGTCACTTTGCAGCATCCAGCAAATTCAAATTATAAAACCTTTTGCCAGGACATTTTCACTTCTAGAAATGTATCCTGTAGAAACACTATGTATTCATTGAAAAAAGGACAGTGACGACTCTAAAATGAAAAGCAAGTGCAACATGGCACGTAATTCACTGGAGATGAATTCTTCTAAGTGTGACGCACACACGCGTATGTGGCAAAGAATATAAATGAGAAGAGACAAAACGCTCAAAATGAATAAAATAGTGTGAGAGAAGGGGAGTGGGCGCTTCTGATTTTTACTTTATGTGCATCTATACAACTTCAACTTTTCATAATCTGCAAATATTACTTCCACAATTTAAAAAGTCCCAGACGCATCTTGGGGATTCTGGTTCTCTAGGGCATTTGTATTTTTTCACAGCATCACACGTGCTTTTGCTACATGGCCAAGTCTGAGAATCATTGGGTACTCTAGAGCAGTGGTTCTCAACCTGTGGGTCACGACCCACAGGAACTGTATTAAAAGGCCGTGGCATTAGGAAGGTTGAGAACCACTGCTCTAGAGGGTTGTGGGCAAGGCTGATGAAAATGTGCCAAGAGGACGACTCAGAGACAGGTACATAAAGGAGAAGAAGAGATATAAGAAAAAAGAGATGGCTTGGTGGTTATGGCACCAGCCACAGGCACCAAGACTGGCAGGTTCAAACCCATCCAGGGCCAGCTGAACAACAATGACATCTACAACAAAAAAAATAGCCAGGCATTGTGGTGGGTGCCTGTAGTCCCAACTACCGTGTTTCCCTCAAAATAAGACACTGTCTTATATTTATTTTTTCTCAAGAAGACACACTAGGGCTTATTTTCAGGGGATGTCTTCTTTTTATTAAGTATAATATAACAATCTATATTTATTCAAATACAGTTAAGTCATCTTCTTCTGGAACCTGACAGGGGGAGCCGACCTTGTTGTTGGGGCTGGCGCTAGTGATGTGTGAACTCCTCTCCCCTAGCCGTTCGCACATGCGCAGTAGGATGCCTGTGACTGCGGTTACCACACATGCACCCCCACAAGTGCCAACGGCTTGGGGAAAGGAGCTGTGGCAGATACAAGGTATTCCAGTCTTCCTTACCACTCGCCCCGAAATGCATGGTGTGGCATTTTGTATCTGCATAGCCACACCCATCACTAAGTCTTATTATCGGGGTAGGGCTTATATTTCACAAATGCATAGAAATCCTGCTAGGGCTTATTTTGGGGGTAGGTCTTATGTTGGGGGAAGCATGATACTTGGGAGACTGAGGCAAGAGAATTGCTTAAGACCAAGAGTTCGAGGTTGCTGTGAGCTGTGATGCCACAGTTCTCTATTGTGGGTGACACTCTAAGAGATTCTGTTTCAAAAAAAAAAAGAGAGAGAGAGAGAAGATTCAGAGCAATTAGATATGTAGTGAGCTATAAAAAAAAAGGGGGGGGGAAGGTATAAAGAAACAAAACCCTCAAGATTCCAGTCCCCAAATCCTGCCCCAGACCACCTCATACCACCCCTGGCTCTAGACGAAGATAATTAAATCTTAAGCAAACTGCTGCCCAGAGTTGATACATTGAAATAGTCTCTAACTTATTACCTTTACAACTTCAACTGGGGAAGAGGAAACATTAGAACTTTGGGTTACCTGTTGAAAACAAGCTTGAACAAGGTTTTCAGGGAAGAGATTTCGAATAAGGTCCAGGAAGGCATCTAGGCTGGACACTTCATCATTCTTCGTCCCAGGCCCCAGCTGTTTCTTGAGTTTGGGATCCCCTGGATGGATAGCCAGGACCAGGATGACCCCCAGCACAGCTGCAATGATGGTCGTGGACATGTAATACACCATGGCTCTTGTGCCTAAGCGGCCACTGGCTTTAGCATCCAGGCCTGATAACCCTAGATGGAAAGAAGTTCAGGTAGATTAATTGTTTGTATTAATGACCCATCTCCACATATCTATATGTGCATGCCTATGCCCTCATATTACTCAAGGACATTAACTGTTAACTAAACTTCCTCCTATAGAGTCTTCCCTGGTGTTCATAGGAGATTAGTCCCAGAACCCCTACATATCTCCTTATATAAAATGATATATTTGCATAGAACCTACACAAATCTTCCCATATACTTTAATCACCTCTAGATTATAATACCTAATAAAATGCAAATGCTGTGTAAATAGGTATTATACTGTATCTTAAAAGTTATACAAGATTGGACAGACAATTAAGTTTGCAAACTCATCCTAGAAAAAGTGCTATACACCTCCTTGCTGAATGTCACTTCAAAGTACTCCCGGTGGCCATCTGGGGACTGTAGTAATATTCAGCAATGAGGTATGTAGCACTTTTTCTAGGATAAGTTCAGGAACTTATCTGTCTGTCAGACTGTGTATTATTTTTATTGTTGTACATTTTTTCTATCAGGTTTTTTTTTCTCCCCCATTTTCCACCTGCAGTTGGTTGAACCCACAGATGTGTGACCCTCAGATAGAGGGCTGACAGTTCTGAGCGTTTTTGGTCAATCTCACAATTTGTAATTCTGTTTTCTAAGGGCATTTTCAAGAGTCTAGAGAACTAGGGAGAGTGGGGATTACCAGAGTTTACAGTCCATGACAACTTTTTTTGTCAATCTACATTAGCGAGTTCCTTTTTATTATAATTCTGAGATTACATCTTCTTCACTTTTTGGATGGTAAGGTATCCTTTCTTTTATGAAATTATGGTGCTGGTACATGGAGTTTTTTGACTTGTTTATTATCTTTTTTTGGTGTTCTCACTTGGAAAATTAAAAGGCTAGCCGCTCTCATGTCATCCTCGAAATGTCTTTTGAATATGTTGGTAATAAGTGAAAACAAGAGTCTAAGGGTAGTGAGTTAGCACAACCCTCTCATTCTCTGAGCAAGGTGTGAAGACCCACAGTTCCCAGCTGCCTGTGGGATTAGGGAACGCCTTGTAAAGCACCCGGCTGGGGGCTTCATCTGTACTGAGGGAGGTTAGAGAAAATTCCAAGCAAGTTACCAAAACTCCAGCCTCCCTCGGGTTTTTTTTTTTTCCAGTTGTTTCTTTAGTCTGTCTACTTCCTGGTTTCAGTTCCTGCTTTTACTAGACAGAGAGATTGACCTGCTTTCTGGAGACCAGTCCTTTTTGGCCATGGGGGAGGAAGTTATTGATGTGAGCGTCTCTGAATTAAGCTGACCCATGTATGACCTACTTTCTTTTCAACTCCAAGTCTAATTCTAGCCATTGGGAACTAGTTTCCTGACCAGACTGGCTAATGTATAGTCTGTTACATAGACACGGAGAACATGCTGTCTGGTTTGGAAGGAAGCATTTAAGGTAAAAGCACAGTTTCAATCTAGGGCTGAATTCTAAGATTCTGCTGAACCCCCCAGGTGCCCGAGTCCCAGTGTTTTAGGTCACTGGGGTCACCTGCTAAGTCTGTGTGACAACGAGGCTTAGCATCCAAACGTCTTGGGATTACTGGAGCCTCACTTTCTTCATAAAATGGTCAGTCCAGAGGGGCAACTTTTCAAGGCCACCTCATAGGTTGGTACTCAAATGTGAACCACAGCCCAGCTTCCTACCCTTAGTCTCTAAATGACACCAATTTATACCTATGTAAGCGACATTATTTGGTAAGGAGGAATCTACCAGTATATGCCCAAGGAGGAGGATAAAAAGTTTTCCAGATAAAATAGTTAATTCTTTTAGTTAAAAATTAATGGGCACGATGCCACACATTAAGGGCATCTGGGTGCCCATGCTGTGAAAGGCACAGAGGGCTTTCATTTGTAGTCCTTCATTTATTTGGAATGCCAGCCTTTCTCTATGCCCAATTACACAGTAAAGATAGTTTCCTTTTCCATATATTACCTGTATCGGTTTTTGAAAAAAGTATAGTACATCAAAAATTAAAATCTCTAGAGATATATCATCACTTGTAACGAGGGTGGGGGAGAAGCTGTGTCTCCGTTTCATCTTTGGCTGTTAGAGAGCCAGACCAAGAGAAGGGAAGCCTTTTTTTCTTTGGTGTTGTTGATTATCCCCATTTTAGAGACAGGAACATCAAGGCTCAGAAGTGAAATGACACAGATGACCGTGTTCACTCAACTGACTTGAGATTCTGTGGTCAATCCCAAAGCCAGAGCATGAGTATGAGCCACGTTAGCCGGGCACCAGGGAGGTGGTCTCACCTGTGATTAAGCTGGAGATGATCAGAGGGAGAATGAGCATTTTTAGCATCCTCATGAGTATATCTCCGGGGAAGGCTATTAACATAACCACATCTGGGTGGAGGGGAGATGCCAAGCGAAGAAGCCCTCCGCACACTGCCCCCAGGATGACGCCTGAAAGGAAGGGGGAAATCGGAATTTATTTTTGCTAGTCACATGGATAGCTCTGGGGACTCATTTCAGTGACGCTGACCTTTCTCATGCTTCAGCATTATTCGATGATGAATAACATGTAACAAAAACAACATTAGCCAAGTTCAATGACCAGCAAGAGAACATTCTGTACCTCTGACTATTCTAAAAGGCAGCTCCAGGAGTGCCAAGGAGAACCCTCTTGACACCCTGGCCACTTGCCACCAACTTCTTGGAGGATATTGTCCACTGGGACCCAGAACTGTCAGTAGAAATAACCCACAGTGCCAGCCAGTTGTTGGTCCCAGCCCAGGCCTGCCCATGTAACAAGGCACTTAATGTGTGCATTCTCCTTTTAACTGGGGACCAGATAAAAGGATATTTGATAGACCAAGCTCTATCCATTTTTTTTTCTTCTCACCTACTTTCTTCAGCTTCCAATAATTTCCCCACAGTTCACCCCCCACGTTTGTCCTTGACTACTGTGTCCTTGTACATAGTCGTTAGATCACTGGTCTTCTCAGAGTTCAAGGAGAAGCTTTAAAAGTATATAGTTTGGGAGGAAATAGCTCAGGCAGAGATGCTTGCAGGAACCTTTCATTTTACAGACTTAAAAGTCCCATGAGGAAAACTTCAGATCTCTGTGAGCAGGTGGCTATATAAATGACCCTTGTGGAAACCACAAGTCTGGTCATAGCGCTGCTGGTCAGAAGAAAGAAAGGGAATTCCTAGGAATGTGGGCTATGCTACTAATTTCTGGGGATGTGGAAGGAGGAATATGCCAAAAGCCTGAGTATCCTTTCCTCTACAGGTGAAAATCATATTGTTCAATTTCCTTAAGTCGTATGATGAATGAAATCAGCTTATGGAGGGTAACTCTTAGAAATCTCCAGCATGCCCGTGGTTTCTAATTAGGTGAACTGAGCTATATCAGCTCCCTGGGCCACTGGCATCATGATGTCTGGCTGAGAGGAGAGGCCAGGAATGGAGAGTGTGCAGGTGGCTGTGTGCAGGCGGGTAAGTGCAGGTGGGTGGGGAGGAAAAGTTGTTCATCCCTTCTCTGTGCAGCCTACTTGAGAGCTGAAGAGCAAGAGAGGGATCGAGAAAGGAAATGGTGTGGCTGTCATTGCAAGAACTGCAACTTGCCCTGTTTTCAATAAACCCTGGTGGAAAACTTGAGACAGAGATTATATCAACAGCACAAGAACAACCACAGCCTGGTGACGCTGGAAGGAGGGGAGGAGGACTTGCAAGACGGAGCTGAGCAGATCATGGCATCAGGACAAGCACAATATCCCACAGTGACCTCATTAGCTAACATGCTCAGCTAATCTGGAGAAGGTCTGACCCTCGGAGCTGTTGTAGTGGTGTTTTTGCAACTGCTGTTTACCTTGGTGCATGTGGTTCTCTAAGTATGGTCTGCTAACCAGTTGCTTTGGGATCACCTAGAACTGTGGTCCCCACCCCCTAGGCTGCAGACCAGTACTGGTCTGTGGCCAGTTAGGAACAGGGCTGCACAGCAGAGGGTGAGCAGTGGGCAAGCAAACAAAGCTTCATCTGTATTTACAGCCGCTCCCCATCACTCCCATCCCCGCCTGAGCTCTGCCTCTTGTCAGATCAGCAGCAGCATTAGATTTTCAGAAGACCGTGAAGCCTACTGTAAACCACGCATGCCGAGGATCTAGATGTGTGCTGCTTATGAGAATCTAATGCCTGATGATCTGAGGCGGTGGCCCTAAAAGTGAGGAGTGGCTGCAAATACAGATTATCATTAGCAGAGAGGTTTGACTGCACAGAGACCATAATAAATCAATTGCTTGCAGCCCCATATCAAAACCATCCCTCCATCCCTAGTTTGTGAAAAAATTGTCTTTCGTGAAGCTGGTCCCTGGTGCCAAAAGGCTGGGGCCCACTGACCTAGAAGGTTTGCTAAGATGCAGCTCCCAGGGCCTCACGTCAGATGACCCAAAGCAAAGTTCCTGTGAGTATGGTTTGTGAATCTGCCTGGTAACTAACACATAGGAAGTTTCTAAACATAAAATTTGAGAACCACAGGAATCCAAAGGAGGAGGAAAAACAGCTAGAGCAGGTGAAGGGAAGAGAGGATATCACCGAGGGAGGGATGCCCATGCAGCTGGGGTGTTAGGCAGAACTGTGGCTCCCCGTGGGTTGGGAGGGATGGCTCCTGGGACCAGCTCCTCAACATCACCAGGAGTGGGTGGGGGCTGGGACTGGGGGCTGCCAGGCACCTACCAAACACTGTCAGGGTGAGCAGGAGATTCTTCCCCAGCTTGGAGCACAAGCGCAGGCCCAGATTCCGGTGCTTGGGTTCCTCCGAGCTGAGGTGGCTGTCCAGCATCCGCACTTCCACCTGCTTGGGCATATTGTTGGCACTGAAACAGAAGCAAAAGCAGAGATTAGCACCCCGGGCTGCCTCCCCTATAGGCTGCAAGGGCTTAGGTGGTAGGAGCCTCCCCAGGCATAGCTGGAATCTATAACCATTAGCAGGAAAATAAAAACAAGAGTGACTAGGGGCACCCTGATTTCCAGTTCGTCTATAAGCAGGATGGCAGGATACACTGACGTGCCAGGTGTTCCCCTCCCCATTACCGTGGATCCTTTCAGTAAAGGAAAGGAATACCATTGGCAGCGGTAGCGTCTTCCCAAGAGTTGGGAAGTAACCCTGTAAAGGGGAGTGTCCTTGCCCATATTACAGAGCCTTTGCATAAGCCTTGCCCATCAGGGTTGCAAAGGCTAAAGAAATACATGCAAGTTACATCAAAATTAAACTGCCCCCAAACTCAAGCCTTATCACAAAAGCTGATAATTCAAGTTCCATCTCTCTTTTAGAAAAGATGGTACAAGTAAAAAAAAAAAAAATTCAATCTACTGTGGTTTTTAAAAGGTCACTTGCATTACCAGGATTCTGCTAAACTGCACAAGAGCCAACGACACTCTTGCTTTTCAAAGAAGTATGGCTGTAAGAAGGCTTTGATCGCCTTCATCTGTGGGTGCAGGCCAGCCCTCTGTTGGATTAATCCCATCTCAAGAGTCTGCCGAGTGGAGCCCACGCCAGGATAATGGGTACACTAGTTCTTTCCCTGCTTTGTCCTTTCCTGGGCCAGTAAGATCCCAAATTTAAGCTTAGTGAGGCTAATTTTCTACTTTGACATCTTAGAATGTTTTTTAGTCACCACTTATAAATGCCATCATTTGGTAAAAGACAAAGAAAGCCTTTAAGATTCCTAGGAAGGGAGTCTACTGTGTCCGAATAGACGACAGCACTTTCCGAGATACGAGGTGTTACCTTTATCCAGATTTTCTCACCATAGACTGAAGAAAACTTTGTTTGGAACCAATGCCAGTCTGCAAACCAGTGGTTTAGAAACTCTGGTTATAGTGGGAATAAGGTAGGGTTTAGAGTCAGAGAGCCTTGGCTTTGAATCCTGACTCCATCACTTGCTAACTGTGTGGTGTGTAGAGCGAAGGGCCAGGTGCCTACCTCCTAAAAATTAAACAAAAGCATGCTAGTGTGGGACCTGCCACAGGTGGCTCCTTCCTCTGGGGAACACAAAGAAGAGACATAACATTTGTCAACATCATGATAAGGATGACATTTAATGCAGGGGACTTACCCACCTGCACTGCCATTCCAAGAAGACTCTAAGAAGTTGACTTCCAGTCTCAAGTGTTAAGACCTAGGGACTAAATACAACCACTTGCTTTTTCATAATAGGCTGCTTAATATACTTACAACCAACATGTTTTAAAATTACGGATCATGTTGTATGGTCTGGCAAAATACCCAGAGGAAAGTATTGATCAAAATAATAAGCGTCTTACTCTCCATTCAATGGCCTAATTTTCTATGCATCTAGTTAATTTTTGAGACAACTTTTAATTTCCTGACTTATGTGTGCGCTTATGATCACCCAGACCATCTGAGAAAGAAAATAGGGCCTGGCTGCTCCCAGCACAGGGAAAAGGACCTTTCTGATCAGTGAGCAACAAATCTACCACTTGCCAAGTGAAACAGATGGAAAAGTCCTTTTTACAACACGGCAGGGGAAAATGATCAACATGATCTTTTTAACATGCATAGACCATATTTCTATGTTTGCACTGGGATCTTTTTGCATTTTTAAACATTTTTCCAGCCTATAATCTGAAGCCCACACTGGGAAATGGCGAACAAAGAAGGGAGGTGGTGTGTGCTCTGAAACAGGGAACGTAGTCCCTGAGCCAGCCTTGGGCAAAGCTCCGCAGTCCCCTCGAGACTGTTAATCTCCCTGCCTTCTGCTACATTTGAATCCTCTCTGCTGTTGAAATTAGAAGCAGGCACTCTGGTTGGTATTCAAGTAAGACTAGCAAGTATTGAACATAAACATTCTGGCAAGATCCAGATGACATAATGAAAGCATCCGGCATTAAAACAGCCATGTCAAAGTGAAAACACGCGAACGTTAGGTTAACATACACACCCCACCTGGCGGTGTGGCTGGATGTCTGCTGTACACATTCCCTACTTGTACCAATGGCTGCATATGTAATGGTTTGTTTTTTAGGCCATCCCAAAATGTCCCTGAAGCCCTGAATCCAAACAGCCACATCAAAGAGGCAGCTTCAGAATGTCATGAACCCACAAGTATTTATTGAGAGAATTCCTATGACTTGCCCTCTCGGAATTAAACAGACACTCTGGGCTTATAAGAGTTCCTGACATTTGCGCATAGAAAATAATTTTTAAAGTAAATCAGACACTTAGCTTGTAGCTGGAAACATGGGGGAATTTCCCAAGAACTCTATGTATAAATTCTCTGGTAGTCTAACGAGTCACTGTATCTCCCAGAACACAAAGAAAGCCCACAATGAGGACTACTATAGAATATGACATTATAGAGTATTACATAACATAATATAGAGGTACTTCTAAGAATATCTACTGGTGATTTTCAACCAGTGTGCCAAGAGAGGATCTTTGGTGTGCTGTGAAAATTTTTAAATATATTTAAAGTTATTTTAAGTTATTTTCAAAAGTACTTCAAAGCACAGTATGTCTATTTTTTTTTAACTCCTTTTTTGATCAACATAATTTAAGTGTGCCTTGGAAGGCCAACTGTAGGTTCAAGTGTTCCGTGAGATAAAGAAGGTTGAAAAACACTGCTCTATTACCCTAGCATAATGGATACAATTTTTAAAAATGTGCTCACACATAGCTATATGAATGCTAGTTATGAAACATATGGCAAAGGTGGCAGTAGTGGGAATAACCCGCATTTACTGGGCACAGCCTCAGTAGATGGTATCCTCAGTAATGAGTATGGCACTGTCCTTACCCTTAAGGAGCCTTTACTAAGGGAGGAAACAGAAACACGTTGCCTCCTCGGACCTGTCTGCTCTAAGTACAGGCTGTGATCAAGCTCCGCCCAGGGTGCTATGGGGAACTGTGAGAACAGTGCCTGACTCAGGTTTGGACAAGAGGAAGGGATGTCTGAGAAGGGCTCCCAGAAGGGGCTGATACCTGAGTTGAATATTAAAGAATGAATTGAATTGAAATGCCCACATTCTCCACCAGGGTGTGAGCCTTAGGAGAATAGGATGCCGATCTTCAACACCTAGTACCGAGCGCTTACAGAAAGAAATTAAGAACTAAAAAGGCCTCTTGCTTGTTCCTGGGAATGAGGCCTTTGCACAGACTGGCAGGCAACACACCACTTGGGCAAGCCTCTGGCCATTCTTGTATTTATCCCACAAATTTCTGCTGGGCACGTTTCAGGCTCTACCCTGTTTTAGGAGCTCAAGATATCGCAATAAGCAAACAAAAAAACCAAAACCCTTGATCTCATGGAGTGCCCGCTTTAGAACAAGTGAGTGGACAAATATATTTCAAGAGGCAGTAAGTGCTGGGAGAAGGAGATGAGGGTGGTGTGTGGGGAGGCAGTGTGATTTTGTATCAGGTGGCCAGGGTGGGCTTCTGGGAGGAGGAGACATTTGAACAGAAACCAGGAGGTAACGAAGAGTTCTCCTTAGGTTCATTATGCGATTTGTCTAGAGTTCAGCAAGTCAATGCAACATACACAATTTGGAAATCTGCGTAGCTACCCAGAGCCTAAAGCTTCCACCAGATGCAACCTCTGGTGTCCATGTGTCAGTTTTACAAGGATTCAAATGAATGGCAAATAAATAATGCGAGGCCCTATTGCTATCATGGATATGAGGGGCCCCTAGCCCCTAGCTCCCAGATCCTAGCTCCTAGCAAGAGGAGAAGTGGTCACCAGGGAGAGGCAGGTTGGACATAGGTGGAAAACCTGAGGTCTCAGCAGCCTGCAGGTTTGTTTCCAAGGCAATGAGCAAGAACTGCCAGACACAGCGTGGATAAGCCCACTGGATAAATACAATCAGTCATTTCGAGTATTGCAAGCTTACTCCCTTGTTAACACTCCCTTTCTACATCCTGTGGTCCAGACGGAACAAAGCAATAAAGAGTTTGAAAGCCCAGGTGGGGCCTGGGTGTACCACATCCATCAAGGCTAAGCTCTGCAACGCAGCTAACCACCTTGATTTCCACTTAGCACTGGCTTCCTGATTGTTGGAGGCTTCAGTAAACTGGCTAAGTCAGGTCTTTCCAAGGGCCTCCACTGCCCAACAAAGCGAGGCCACGTGATGGGACAGCTGTTGGGGTAATTAAAAACTTTAACAATGAGTCTATAATTTCCCTCAGCCTCAGTCTCTCCACTGAATTATTTAAACAGCTGTTAATTTTTGCAGTTGCTGCCCAGTTCTTTCTCATGCAAATCCACGTGAGTCCTATTTGAACAGCTAGCTCAGCTTATCGTGCAGAGCATCCTCTGGGACCCAAAAGGGAACATGTAATGGGGCTAATGTTAACTTTCAAACTATTCTCAGAACCTGCTTTACATTAGCGTCCGACTTCCCTCACTCTGCCAAGAGCCTCTAAGAACAGGCTCATGAGATGTGGTGCTGGACTCAGATTTCCTGTGGCACGCTTCAGCGTCACCGACCACATTCTTTTTTCCTCCTTCACTGGCTCAATAAGGTGGCAAAAGGACATTCCCCTAGGGAGCCAAAAAGGAACTGGCATGTTTCTCCTGGAGGACACAAGGGCTGCAATGGGCCTTCCCCAGCCTCACCTCTGCTGCCTAAGTCCAACCCTCATGAACAACACCGTGCCTGCTGAGGGGCCTTTCCCTAAGACAGCTGGATAAGGATGCTGGAAATACCCCTGGTGTCAGCTCTGAGCACCAAGCACCATGAGCCAGTGATTCTATGGTTGTCCCACAGCCATGATTTCCACAGCTCCCCAAAGAACACTGTAAAAAGGCCTGGGACTCCAAGGTGGTCTGGCATTTCCAGTAGCCTGCAAGACGCTCTA